AGTGCCCGCGGCAACTTTGATGTCACCTAGCGTCTGAACGGCTAGCCGTAGAACGGCCAAACTTGGTGACTTTTCCTAGAATAATGTTGGAAACAATTCTCTATCATTGGAATAAGATAATTATTTTTTGTGTTGCCATGGCAACGGGTTTTTGACAGGCATTTTTTTCAAATTTAGTACTTTTGGTTTCAACAATAGAATTTTATGGGTTTATGTCAAGTTACTCATGGTTTCTAATATTAATAACATCCCATATAATGTTATGTAAATTTTATTATTAAATATGCATAATTTATGCTAATTTAATGACGTCATTGGCCAAAATCCAAGATGGCGGACCACATCATTAGAATAGGTATATACACGTTATTTTCCTTAAAATTTCATCAATACTTCCATTTCTTTTTCCAAAAAAAAGGTTTAAATGAAGGTCTTTAGTATGTTTACAATGTATTTTTGGCTTTTTCATGAAAAAAAAAAACTATTTTTGAAAATTCAAGATTGATGATCCAAGATGGCGGATATCTTAAATATGCATGGCGTCATTTTATGACGTCACCGGTGTTGCTATGGGCAACATAATACTTAGTACACAATAATATTCTGTCATAAACACTTTTGGTACAGTTATGTTGAATACCATTTAGTTTTCAGGGGAAAACCTATTTAGACTGTTTTGGCCAATAAAATCACATTGATGACGTCATAATGACGTCATATTACGTCATAATGACATAAAAACTGTAGATATAATTAATTTTAACTAGTACACCATTCTCTAAAAATTTAGTGGTCATACGACATACCGTTCGCGAGTTCTTAGGGGGGTCAAAAGAGCCCCCACACCCGGTCCCCCATGTCAAAAAAAGCCCGGTCTAGGTAGGGTTAAAGGATTGCTGAGTCTCAATGGATGTTTTGATTACGTTGTTGGAACATTACCTTTGTAACACTCCTGCATCATCACTGGCTCCATCGTAGATGGTCAGAATGTCATATTTTTTAGTTTCGAAACTGTCGAACGTGAGACGAATGATGCTTCCTTCTGGAGTAGTGATCAACCATCTGACGTTTTCATGGTTGCCATAGTTATTCGGATAGTTTTGTGACGTCATAGGTCCTCCAGAGGGACTCGTCAGGCTGGCCCCCACTGCACGAAGAGTCGGAAATAGCAGCAAGGTAAATGCTTGATATACCCGAGTAAATGATTTTATGGCTTCACCACTATGTGGTAAAGTCATGTTGTTTTTCCTGATGTTTCTTCTCCTTCTTCTTCTTTTCCTGGCATTTAGTTAAATGGATTCAATTTCTTCATTTTTGGGACAAATGACATGAAATTTGGCATGAAGGTAGAGTAGCCAAATACCCCTAGGCTTCTTTTTTTTCATTTCTTGGAAAAATTGTTTTATTTGTTTTATTTGGCTATTTTCATGCAAAAAATTATTCATTTTGGGATTGGAGCCCTGGTAATAAAACCAAATCACCTGAAATTTGGTATGGGGATACCTTGGACATATGTCTACAAAACCTTATTCAAGCTTTTGTCATACACTACTTTAAAATTGTGTAAATTAGGGTTTTTTGGCTATTTTCAGACAAAAAATGTACATTTTTGGCTCCTGTGCCCTAATGTTACATCCGAATGACCTGAAATTTGGTATGGGGATACCTTGGACACAGGTCCAACGAATGCCATTCCCGCTTTTGACATACATTACTTAAAAGCTGTGTAAAATAGGGCTTTTTGGCTATTTTCGGACAAAATCGGTAAATCTTGGGTTCTGGAGACCTGGTATTACACTTAAATCATCTGGAATTTGGAATGGGTTTGCTTTATATATCTACCAACAACCATTAATTGCAATATTTGGCATACTCTCCCTTAAACTTGTATGATGTGGGACTTTTTGACCGTTTTTAGGTCACAATTTATGATATAGTTGCATGAGGATGACTACCCTTGAGTCATCAGTCTGGCATGCACAGCAGGGACCAAAAGGCATTCAGCTTTCTTCTAATCTTCTTGCTGATTGGCTGTTGGAATTTGATTGAGTTAACTCTATGAACAGCTGCATACCATATCAAAAGTAGGTACTGCAAGTGTTTTGGTAGGTATGTTAAACTTTCCTGCTCCAGCATTGGAATGTGTGGCATGTATGCTTTTTTTGCCTTGAAAATCAACAGTTTGCATTATGCAAATAAAAGTACTACTCAATAATGTAGGGGATACTCTATCCAACTGTTGTATTCATAGTTTTATGTCACTTCATACTATAGTTATATCGATGCAAAACATTGTTTCTCTTGTATTCTCCTTCTTTTCCTGCCATGTCGTAAAATCTGGTGAAGCAATGCTGAATTTGCTCCAAAGCAAATGTTGCCCTTTCTAGTTTTACTTAAGATGCATCAATATTTAGCCGTTGTAAATGTGCAAATATACCTGAAATTTCTCTGCATCATATTGCTGGTAATGTTTTCTTTATATACCCATATTTATTGTGCCTGTGTGTGTATATAAAATACGACTAAGTCAGTTTACATACTCCTACATTTACCTCTGGATTTACCCGGCATTTACCAATCTTCAACGCGGATTTATGCTCTCGACTTTATCGGTGTATATTTTAAATTTACTACCATATAAACCTGCCGTTACTCTGATAACTTCAATTAAAAATACACCGTGCATTTCATCTGCATTTGTCAGTCATTCTGTCATTCTGTCTATATATTGGTCAACAAAAACCGCTAGATGGATTGGTTTCATACCTGGTGCGTTTCGTAGCAAAACTGAATTAAGTGGGACTCTGCTAAAGCCTGTTCCTTATGTATATGACTGATTTCAGTGAAATATAGGCCATAACGGCCTACCTGCTCCCCTCCCCAAAATGGGCGCAGCCCCTAAATATTTGGTTTTCCTATGTTAATATACTTTCATTATCTCAGAACAAAGTTATCAAAATTGACATAAACACATTTACAGGGTAGTTAAACCTTTAAAATGCCCATCTAGACCAAAATAAACAAAAATCATATACAACAGAATTATTCAGAGATTGAGAATTTTATGGTCAGGTTATACTCCGTAATTATCAATGAACTTTATTATTCTTATACGTCTTATTTCGTAATATTTTTATACTTTTAAAGTTAATGTGCAATTGTTATCAGTATCATTAAACCATGTCACTATTGTATTTGAACAATCGGCTACAATTAGTTTGTACATTAAAATTATGATCATCGGTACCAGTCTGTGTGTGAAAATTCTGAATGCAATGACACAATTAACATAAAATATCTCTTACTTTCGACTTAATTTACAGCATTCCTTAATCAATAAGTAATAATCAATAACTGTATCATAATAGCAACATTTTGATATATTTGTAGAAGTCTTATGGGCGAAATATAAGAAATAAAGGTAGCGCATGTAAAAACGTGATTCTTTGCATAAATTATGACAATGAGCAGAAATCATTCACACTTAATACGTTTGTGAAGATTAATCATCCAGGATAATACTAATAAGAAAAGTTTGAATCTTTACTTCTGGATAAAATAAGAAAATAATGTCAGACGTTTCAGACGCCGTCCGGCATCTTTCATCAGTGAAATATTCAAAATTGCGATAGAACTCGGAACGGCACCGTTAATTCTAAAAGTATTTATGTTCTAAATAAACAAATAATAAGTTAGCAACAAGCGTTCTATAGATTCTATATACAATACACATGGTAAAGTATTAACTAATGTAATGATAAAGATAAGTAAGTCCCTAGATATGCTGTAAAGTTGAATCCCATGTACTTGAAAGTTCAACTCTAAGTCCTCCCTTCCTGTTGAGTGATGGTTTATAAAGTCTTTCATAAATCGCCTCCTTGACTCCACGCTCAAACCAGCGCGCCTCCCGGTCCAAGATGTCCGTTGATTCAAGATGAAAAGAATGTCCTTTATGTTTGTCCAGATGGTGCCATATGGCCGAAGAAAATCCACTGTTACTGGCCCTGCAGTGTTGCTTATATCTTTCCTTGAGCGGCTGACTGGTCTCCCCGATGTACGTTTCTTTGCATTGATGATCTTCACATTTTAGTCTGTAAATGACATCCGATTTCACACAGTTTTTAAGTTTGTCCTTTGGATGAAACAACATCTGTCTGAGAGTGCGACATGGTTTGAAGTTGGTGGCGATGTTGTAGTTGTGTAAGATACGTCTTATCTTCTCCGAAACTCCTTGGATGTATGGGATGGAAATGTTGACTGTTTTAGTCCTGTCTAACTGTGAGTTTCTTGACGTCTTCTTAGATGAGTCGGAAGGCTTAAGTGGTTTGTTAAAAGTCCATTGTTGATATCCACACTTGGATAGAGCTTTCTTGAGGTGATTATGTTCCTTGGCTCTGGCTTCAGCCGAAGTAATCAAGGTGTCTGCTCGATGAAACAAGGTTCTTATCACACCAAGTTTCTGTTCCAAGGGATGGTGAGAATCAAAGATGAGATATTGATCGGTGTGAGTAGGTTTACGATAAACCTCCACCTCAATGTGACCGTCTGTCTCTACATGTAGTTTGGCATCCAAGAAGGTAGTGTGTTATCTTGACTGGTCTCCTGATAAAGCTGATATGTTTGTCAACCTTGTTAATGTGTTCGAAAAAACTGTCCGCCAATCCCTTCTTGAGCCGACACCATGTGTCATCCACGTATCTAAACCAGTTGGCAGGAGGGGTACCAGGAAAGCTATTGATTAGCTTTAAGTTCGAACTTCTCCATGTAGAGATTGGCCACGATAGGAGATACGGGAGAACCCATAGCGCAACCTTGTACTTGCTTGTAAAACTTGCCATCATAAGTAAAATATGTACATTCAAGGCAAAGTTCCAAGAGTTGACAGATCTGGTTGACTGACAATTTAGATCTCTCTTTCAGGGTGTCATCAGCTTCAAGGAATTCTCTTACCACTTCAACAGCTCCTTTAGGGGGTATGCAGGTAAACAGTGAACATACATCGTAGGATGTGATAATCTCATCATAGAGCTAGCTATTTATCTCATTTTTTTCGTTCAGATAACTATTTCATTCCATACACGTGCTAAGAACCTTTACCTGTGTTAACACATAATTTTTTCACTAATAAGAGAAATATCTCTATAAAGCTCTTACTAGTGAACCTTTTACTAGTGAAAAAATGAGTTAACACCCCTCTAACTCATTTTTTCACTAATTAGAGACTCCATTGAATCTCTTACTAGTGAAAAAATGAGTTAACACCCCTCTAACTCATTTTTTCACTAATAAGAGACTTCAGTGAACCTCTTACTAGTGAAAAAATGAGTTAACACCCCTCTAACTCATTTTTTCACTAATAAGAGACTTCAGTGAACCTCTTACTAGTGGAAAAATTAGTTAACACCCTCTAACTCTATTTTTTCACTAATAAGAGACTTCAGTGAACCTCCTACTAGTAGAAAAATGAGTTAGAGGGGTGTTAACTCATTTTTTCACTAATAAGAGACTCCATTGAATCTCTTACTAGTGAAAAAATAAATTAAGCCCT